CCTTTTAAAAATATAAAACATTTTTTAAGAAGTTAGATATTTAAAAATATAAGATATTTTTAATCTTTTGAAGTGTAATCATTACTTTTTTTTTTAAAGTACCCCTATTGATAATGACTTTATATTTATTATAGGGTATTTAATATGAATAAATATAAAAAGATAGGGTTAGTTGAAAAGTAAGTAACTAATTTATTAAGAAATGAAATTCAATTAAAAATACTTTATATTTTTTAACGGAGGGAGTATATAAAAAGAAAGTTATTTAAGCATATTTCTCATTTTAATTTTAAAGGACAGGACTTCTCTACCGGCCAATCATTGCATATATTTGTTGGGAAATGAATCATTTGAAGTTGAGAATATGTTAATATGAAGTTTGTCTTTTAAAAAAAAAATTTAAATTTTATAAAAGATATAATAAATTGGAAAAATATCAAAAGAATTTTATAAAAAAATCATGAAAATTTGCTCATATATTTGTTATTGGGAAGCAGTTGGATGACTAAGTCCAAAGTGATCGCACCTTCCAATAAAGCAAGTAGCAAAGCCAAAAAAAGGAGACAATGCACGTGGCGCTTTGTGCTTGTAGAATCGGAGTTTCGAATATTATATTCATAATCTTCATTTGGCATAAATTTACGTACGTGATCGGAGTCGTTTCATTCATTTAAGTCTTCACATGTGTACATTTTCCATGGGAAGAGGACAAAGAAAAAATTATTTTGTTTTACTGATTCATTTTCTTTAATTAAAAGTTGTTTTATTTCAAAAAAAATGTACATTTTCGAAAAACGAAGTCTTTCCATTCTATAATACATAACTTAAAAAGAATATGCTCTATCTAATAAGCGGACAAGGAATATTATATAATCGTTTACTTGTTTGATGTTGCTTGACATATTGCATGGGATATATATAATCTTACGTACAAGACTTATTTTAGAAAGGCGAATCTATCCTTGACTATTTCCAAAGCTAAAGCTGTCGGAATATTTAAGGATTAGCGTTAATAAATTACAAATTCCTAACCAAAATAATATTGTGAATAGTAAGTAATTTTTATGTTATATTAGGCACTATATATATTGAAATGGATTGAGTCTAATTGAATAAACCATAATAGATTGAAATATTTAATTAAATGTATCAAAAGAGACTCCAAACATATAGAACACACACACACATATACATATATATGTTATTAGTGATGCAGGATGGAGGAGGGGAAAGAGAGAAGAGAATAGTGAAAAGATAGAAAGAGTAGTAGAGACAAAAGAGAGAAACTTAGAGGGAAGTAAATCAATATAAATTCTTACTCATTAAAGAATGCATACAAAGTAAATATGTTATAATGTTATTTATAAGCCTTAACCTAACCCTAGAAATAAAAATTTTAAAAGTAGAATATCATATAAGTCCTAACACTTAGATGCAAATATTATAAAATAATTTAAAAGATAAATTATTAATCTAAAAGATTACATTTATTCAAATCAAATCCTGATATCATTCTAATAAAATAAGAATCTTAAATCTATGAATAATTATGTATCCCATCATTTCTCCTTGTTTGAAGAAACTCTCCTCTGGAGAGTAAAATTGATAATGGCTTCAAGGAAGCAAGATGTAAATAGGAGATTCCATAGTCAACATATGATGGCACATGTAGCAACGTCTAGTAGGGATGTTTGATAGATAGGCAACATTTGGAGGTGGGACACAACGATGATAGTGGTTTGAAGATTTGATTGGTGGATGTGGGCGATCTAACTTGTGGCAGCAATGAGTTGAACATGCAAAATTTTGTGTTTTATGATCAGTGAAAGGGTATGGCATTAGGAAGATCTTTTAGAGAGAGTTTGCTAGTTAAAGTGGAGTAGGAACTTGGCTTTGATGCTAGTTGATGCAAGACGGGAGAAGGGAAAATGAGAAGATAATAGAGAAAAGATAGCAATAGTAGTAGAGACAAAAGATGAAACTTAGAAGCAAATCAATATTAATTTTTATTCATCTAAAAAGTTGTACAAAGCAAATATGTTAAGACATTATTTGTAGGCCTTAGCCTAACCTTAAAAATAAAAGTATTAAAAGTAGAATGTTCGATAAACAATTAAATGCAAATACTATAAAATAATTTAATAAATAACCTAGTAATTTAAAAGATTACATTTATTGAAATCAAATTCTAAGATGATTCTAATAACATAAAAATCTTAAATCCATTAATTATGTATCCCATCAATTAGTGATCCTATTTACGAAAAAGCTAGGGGCATGTTGATCATTAAATTATATGACGAGCAATTTAAATAGATTTTGCCCCAGCAAGTTTTTGTCTTGCCATCAGCATGTGTTCTAAGTGAGTTACTTCCTCTCTTTAAGCAGTGCATTCTCTCTTCACCAATCATTGACATGGAGCATCCATGAATCATAACATGCTTTAAAGTAATTATCATAATTTATTTTAGTATTATTTTACTTCAAAATCTATATTGCTCCTTCCAAGCAAGTTGCAGAATATAGAAGGGGACAGACAATGCAAATGGATCTTAGTGCTAACATAATTAGAGTTTTGAATATTCAAAGTCAGATCGTCCACGAGTCTTTTCGGCATGTTGTCTGTGAACGTTTCATGATGCTTCGTGCTTGTTACGTACTACACGACCGCAAGGAAATCCCAGCTAAAATATAATTTTCTTAATATATAGGAATTCCAAGTACTGAGTTAAGTCGTCAGTAATATCACAATTGTATTTCTAAAATTCCATTGTGATGTAGAGAGCTTATTAGTGAATTATTGATAAATACCTCTGTACAAGTACTTTTGGAGCCTAGAGATATTCTCAAACCTTCATGAACTCTTGAAACTCCATTCAACTATTTTTTTTTACCAAAAAAAATCTATCTTTAAAGTTATATTCCTTCTAATCATATTTATAAGGCAGAGAAATAAGAATTTTTTTTGTTTTTTTATTTTCCCTTCCTTGAATTTTGGAGAGATAAAATATGTTGTTAAAACATATAAATTTAACAGGGGCAAAATTGAGAAATTAATAAATTTTTATACAAAATTCATAAGTTTTAAGGTTATTCTTAATTCCAGTGAAACATTATTACTAAAAATAAGAATCTATATAGCGATTATTTTTGCCATATAGTGAGGCGCTCTATAGTCTAATGCCAAACATATAGTAGTTTTCAACCGTTAAATAGTTTAATCATATATAACAATCATTTATAAAAAAGCGTTGAATATTTTGTATCCAATTTTTCGGTGTAGAATGGTAGCAACAAAACTATTTAGTGAATATTAAAAAAAACCGTTAAATAGATTCAATGTATGACACTTATTTGGAAAAAACCGTTAAATAGAATTATCTTGTTTTGGTCAATTTGCATGAGGTGGTCAGAATCAATTTAGCTATTATTTATGAATAAACGCTAAATAGTTATGTATGTTAAGCGGTTACTTGAAGAGGTTATTTTTAAATAACTGTTATATAGTTTAAATTTGTTTTTAATAGGGAGCTTGCACTTCGAGCAAGCCCCCCACAAAACAAATACACAGCATTTCAGAAAAACACCAGCAAAAGAATAATCTAATTTCAACCAAAATTTATATACAATTGAATCCAATTATTTAAACCTAGGTATAATAACTTGTAAAATCTATTTAAATTTACTTCAAACGTTTTAAAAAATGCCTAAACCGTAAAGCAATTACAATGAAAAATTTGCAGTATAACCTATTGCAACTTTAAAAAGTCAAAGTTATTAAAAACTTAAATTTGGCCAAAGTATGCTTCTTTTAAAAAAATGTAAGGAACCTATATATTAAAATACAGATATTGCTGTATTAAAAAAAATAAAATACAGATATTGCTCAATAAATTGCCGAAGATTTTTTTTATTTTTTGAATGAAAGGAAGCTTCAATAAATCAAAATAGTATATGCACAGAGACAAGGAAATTACAGAAGAAATCTATGAGTAGACCAGGACTTAAGAGTATGGTCCACGGTAGCTCTAATCTGAGATAAAATAGCATCAATATTAAAAGATACATTGGAAAAAATGGTTCTATTCCTAACATCCCAAAGTCTCCAGCAAGTAATGCAGATTCCAATCTTCCAGGAAACGTTGAGATTAACATTTGACAGGAATTTCGTAATCCAGGAAGCAATTTCCTCACCATAGAAATCGGTGTGCATGTCGTTGGGTAGAATTTTCCTCCACGCCGAGGCTGCAAAAGGACAGTCTTTAAACACATGGTTTATATTTTCAATGGGATGGTTACATCGCCAGCAATGTTGCTCCTGTGCCATTTTCCTTATGTATCTCTCAGCATTTGTTAATAATCTTCCTTTGAGGAGTAACCAGATAAATGTTCTTATCCTCTAAGCCATGGGTAATTTCCAAACTTTGGACGGGCTAGGGGTCTCTAATGTGTCCTTCTCTAATGCCCATTGTAATGCCCCAACTTTTCAATTTTATTTTTTATTTTTCTTTAGATTATTGGCTTCTACATAAAATAAGAGACATTTGAATATCTTGATGTCCCAAAATGGTGAAAATTTATATTTTTTATGATTTTTCTAAAATAAAAGGGTGTATTTGTGATATTTTTCTTTAAAAAATAAAAAAAATACAAATCTTCACCATTTTAGGACATCAACATATCCAAATGTCTCTTATTTTATGTATAAGCCAATGATCTAAAGAAAAATAAAAAATGAAATTGAAAAATTGGGGCATTACAAGAGACATTAGAGAAGGGCACATTAGAGGCCCCTAACTCACTTTGAACCATTCTTTGTTTATATCATTCCACTCCATGTTTTGGCTCGCATAATAGGTAGATTTAACGGTGAACTTCCCATCATTATTGAGATTCCAAAAGCAAGTTGGGTCTTCAAAGGAGTGCAAATCAATGGTTAAATATGCAATCTGATCTAGAGGGTTAGGAGGCAAGTAATTTTCAAATAGGTCCCATCTCCATCAACCTTGAGAATTCATGAAGTCAGAGATTGGGTTTTTTAAGACCTGTTCATCAATATCATCAGAAGACAAGAATTTCAGAGGGCCTAAATGCCCAACCCAAAAGTCGGACCAGAACTTGATGTGTCGTCCATTTCCCGGCAACCATTTAACATGCTTCATAGTATCTTGCCAAATTTTGGTAAGATTACGCCAAAAGTAGGAGCAGCCCTTTTTGGATATGTCGTGAATGGAACCCTCAGGTACATGGTATTTAGCTTTGAGCACACGTATCCACAACAAATCAGGCTGGGCTATTATTTTGTAAGCCAATTTCGAGAGAAAGGCTTTGTTTTGCTCTTCCAGTGAAATAATTCCGCAACCTCCACGATTTACAGGTTGGCATAAATCCTTCCAATTAACCAAATTAATACCACGGTGATCATCCGAATACCCCCAAATGAATTTTCTAATTATTTTTTCAATATCAGAACAGCAAGATGTTGAGAGCATAGTACTCTGCGTTGTGTAAGGTGGGACGGAGGAGAGAACTGACTTAGCCAAAGTAATTCTTCCAGCTAAGGATAGACATTTAGACTTCCATCCGGAGAGTTTTTGCTGCAACTTTTCTATGATATAATTGTAGGTACGAGTGGTGACCCGCCCTGTAATAAGTGGCACACCCAGATATCTTCCAAGGGATTCAGTACAATGGAAGCCTAGCAGTTGGCATATCACATTGCTCACATAAGTTGGGAAATCTTTAGAGAAATAGATTTGAGTTTTGTCATGGCTAACTTTCTGTCCTGAAGAAAGGCAGAATTGATTCAAAACTCTCTGGATGACAGCAATTTGAGCAGCAAAAGTTTCACTGAAAAGCACAAGGTCATCCGCAAAAAACAAATGCGAGAGAGGAATACCTCCTCTATCTAGCTGAATGGTCTGCCAATTCTTTTTATTTATTTCAGCAACAATAGCTTGCAAAAGTCTTTTCATACACAAGATGAAGATATATGGAGACAACGATCTCCTTGGCGAATGCCTCTTTGAGGAGAAAAGGATCTCAGTGGCTTACCCTTGCAAAGAATCTGCATAGTAGGGGTTGTAATACATTGCATTATGGCAGAGATCATCCTCGAGGGTAAACCAACATCTTTAAGAGTGTCTTTGATGAAGTCCCATCTAAGCTTGTCAAAGGCATTTTCTAGGTCCACTTTAATGGCCATCCAACCCTTCTTTCGAGCTCGCTTCCTCATTGAATGCATAATCTCTTGTGCTATAATAATACTGTCAATGATATTTTTGCCTTGTATGAAACTTGTTTGAGATGGCAAGATTACATTTGGCAGGATAATCTTCAGTTGATTAGCAATTACTTTAGTGACCACTTTGTAGACCACAAAGCAAAGACTGATTGGCTTGAATTCCTTTATATACTAAGGCTTGCTAACCTTAGGAATTGAGGCAATGAGTGTACGATTTAACAGTGAGTCCAGATTTCCGCTAAGCCAAATATGATTGATGAAGGAAAAGAGACTAAATCCCACAGTCTCCCATTGGCTTTGGAAAAAACTGCTTGCAAGCATCAATCCTAGGGGATTTGAGTGGTTTCATGTCAAAAAGAGCTTGCTTGACCTCCTTAAATGTAATTATTCGATCTAACTCAAAGAAAGTTTGGTTTGAGAGTTTAGGGAACATACCTGAAACGCCATAAGGAGTGTAGCTATCATTTTCCAGCGAGTATAACTTCTTGAAATAATCAGTGACCATGTCTGAGAGCTCGTCATCATTGTTGATCCATTCACCTTGATCAAAACGAAGCTAGGTGACCTGGTTGCGATGGCGATTGAGGATAGCTTTGGTATGGAAGAATGAGGTGTTCCGATCTCCAAGATAAAGCCAATCTGAGGTTGATTTTTGGAGCCATAAGATTTCTTTGTTGAAGCAAACATCTTCAAATTCAGCTCGAAGATCTTGTTCCAAAGTGAGAAAGAAATTCAAATCAGGGGAGGTTTTGAGCTTCTTTTGAACTCCAGTAAGACATGATGGCAGCCTTCGTTTCTTTCTGCCGATATTCCGAAAGACACTTGAATTCCATTGCTGGACGTTTCTTGTGAAACAAGCCATATTCTCAGTAATGCTCTTATCTAAGTCCCAACAACTCTTAACAAGCTTAGGGAAATTTGAATGCGTGATCCATGCTGCCAAGAACTTGAAGGAGTGCGTTCTTTAAGGATCATATGAGCCCAAATTAATCAAAATGGGCCTATAGTCAAAGAGTAACTTGGGTAGATGATCCACAGTGTTATTGCTGAAGAGATTAACCCATGCTTGATTAGCTATGCCTCTATCTAGGCGGATCATGAGAGCTCCTCGCCTCCATGGTTGTTTTGGGCCGCTAAAGCCCAAGTCAATTAGCATGTTATGATGAAGGAAAGAATTAAAAGATTTGCAGCCCAATCTTCTAGGATTAGTGGATCCAGAGTAATCATCAGTAGAAAGTATTGCATTGAAATCACCTGCTAATAACCAAGGGCATGTGAGATTAGGAGCAATAAAGGAGAGATCATGCCAGAGTAACTTACGCCATTTGGCTTGAGGTCTACCATAAACAACAAGGAAAAGGAAGGTTCTGGAGTTTCAACATTGTGACTTCAGCGTGTATGAATTGAAAGTGGCTAGAAAGGATTTGAATTGTTACTTTATGGTTCCATAATAACCATATTCCTCCAGGAAATCTGATGCTTCTACTCTCTGTGAGTGGGGGAAACCCAAATTTTAATGACTGTATCAGCTTTGGTCCCTGAGACCTGAGGTTCCATCATAACAAAAATATCTACTTTGTAACCTGCAACTAAAGCTTTAACTGTAGAAGGGATTCTTTTATCAAGAGCCCCTTGGCAATTCTAGGTTATGATCGATATAAAGAGATTGATTTATTGCTCAGTGTGTCGCACCCGGAAAAATGCGACGCGGACGGTGCACGAGCGGAGTTCCCGGCCTTCGCAGCGAGAACTGAATCGAATGAGGAGTCGCCACTAAGATTTTGAGGAAAATCTCGAGAAATCGATTAATGGAGGATAAGGGTGCTCTGCGAAATCAGAGAATAAGTTCAGGAGTTGGTTAAGTATGGGGAAGGTATTAGGTACTCCACAACACCCGTTCGTCAGAACGGTTATGTGAAGTTTGTTGTGCTATATTAATATGGTTTTAAAATTATTTTAATTATTCCTTTTATATTCATGTGTTTGATAAAAATGATAAGAATTAAATGAGAAATATTTATTTATTTACGAGGGAGGACTTGACTCAGAATCTGATTCTGAGGCCTACATACCCTATGATGGAGATCAAAGTCCACGTAGTTTAGGCTTAAAAGTTATTAGTAAAAATATATTTTTGAAGAGAAATTAATTAGAAATAATTCACCATTTTGCAAATAAAATAATTTCTGAAATTTTGATATGTGTGTTTTAAATTGCAAAAAGTAATTTAATTTTAATTATTTTCTCAATTTTTCAATTTTTGGAATAAAGAAAGAAAAGGGTTTAAAATTATTTTTCTTTATGTTTTATGATTGAAAATTTTAATTGCTATACCTGCAGAGCCTTATTAGTTCATACGGTAATGCAGTTGTTCTAAATATCTGTCGAGATTTTGAAATCTCATATGATAAAAGAATTTAGCAATTTAATTTATTTATTTATATTCTTATGTATATTTTTTTAAGTGTCAATAAGATATTTTAAATGTGTATATACATGTTTTTTTTTTAGAAAAATATCAACCATCATACCTGCAAAGCCTTATTGACTTATACGGTAATATGATTGTCTTAAATATCTGCGGAGATTCCGTAATCTCACACGATAAAGGAATTTAATTTATTTAAATGCATCTTTAATTTGATTAATTTAATATATAATTTATATATATATATATATATTTTAAAAACTTAATCGTTATATCTGTAGAGTCTTATTGGCTCATACGATAATACGATTATCTTAGAAGTCTATGGAGATTCAAAAACCTCACATGACTTAAAAAAATATAATCGATAAATATGATTACAATTTAAATACATTATTTTGATTAATTAATTTTCTAAATTGTGTATTACATTATTATTTACTAAAATTATTTATTTATTATAAAAATTGAGAATCACTATATCTGTGAGGTTTTATTACTTTATATAAATTGGATCTCTATGCCTGTGAAATCTTATTGAGTTACATGGTATGAGATCATTTTAAATGTCGGCGAAAATTCTTAAAATCTCATACGACAAGTAAATAATTAAAAATAAATTTTCTCTTATTCATTTCATGTTTTTCAATTAGGTAAGAATCGAATTCTCTCCCCTCCACCTTTTATAAAATAGGTTCGTCATAATAATTGAAACCGTACATGTAATCATGATGGAAAGTGCCATACGATATGAGTGTAACAATATTATTGACAAGAAAGGACCTTAGGACTAATGGAGATGAAAAAATTATGCCCATACATATTAATATGCCCTTTCATGTAAAAAACATATTTAAAGACCCTGCCTAATAATTGCACTAATTCTTTCATTATTTGAAATGAGATTATGCCTAAAATCAAATTAAACTTAGTTATGATAGCAAGCAAAAATTATTATTTGCAATCACTTTATCCTTTATTTTTTACACTCTCTTTTTTTTATTTAAAAAAAATGACAATCACATTGATTTTTATTTGAAAATTGAAAAATGTATGACAGATATTTAAACATAAAATTTATTTTAAAAAAAATAAATCTAAATCAAACATGTGCATTTTAAATTCAGAAGGAAAAAAGCAACGCAAATCACATGCATGATATCCTGTTCATTCAACAACAAACCAGCCAGCAGTGATCATTAAGAGAAAGAAGAAAAAATGACAATGTCGAATGACGTCTTCTCCTCCTTCAAACCTTGACTCGATCAGTCTTGGGTTGCTTCCTCTGCTTCTGGCCAGATCACTCTCAATCTCAAAGATAAACCATTTTCCTCGTCTCTTTCTTTCTATTTTCTTCTCCCCGTCTGTCAGAAAACTCCTTCTGATCAGTCTCCTCTGTCTCTCTTTTTTTTTAGGAAAAACTCGTGTCTCTCGATGCTCTCCTTCTCCTCTCTTCTCGGTACTTTTTCTCCAGCAAGAACAACTCCTCCTCTCTTTTGAGAAAACACTCACTCTCGTGGCCTCGGTTTCTCTTTTTTTTCTCCAACCAGAACAGCTCCTTCGGTCCTCTCGGTTTCTCTTTTTTTTCTCCAGCCAGAACAGCCCCTTCGGTCCCTCTCTCTTCGTCTCAGTCTCTTCCTCTCTCAGCCTCTGTTTTTTTCCTTCGATCCCTCTCTTCTCCTCCTGTTCTGCTTCTTTTTTCGTGCTCTGTTTTTCTGCGTTTTTTCCGTCGTCCTCCTGTGCTCTTGTTTTCTGTTCTTTTTATACTCTCGGTCTCTCTCTTCTCTGTCACCGTTCTTCTTCTCTCTCGTTCGTGCTCTGTTTTTCAACTCCTTCGGTCTCTCTCTTCTCTGTCACCGTTTTTCTTCTCTCTCGTTCGTGCTCTGTTTTTCAACTCCTTCGGTCTCTCTCTTCTCTATCAACGTTTTTTCTCCTCTTCTCTCTTTTTTTTAGCCTTATATAGAGAATGGAAGAGGTGAATGATTACTCCCCTGCTCTGCTTCTTCCTTTTCCCTTCTTTTCCGCTGCATTTTCTGCGTGTGTGTGCTTCCTTTCTTCACTCGCGTGCATGATTCACCTTCGCCGTCTGCTCTCTGCTCTGTTTCTGCCTCCTCTGGCTGTGTGTGTGCTTTCTTTTCTCTCTACATCTGACTCTCTTTCCTTTGCGTGTGAGTGCTGCGTTTGCATGGCTGTGTTTACGTGTGTCTAGCTTTGTTTCTTTTTGTTCTGCATTTACTTTCTGCGTTTCTGCGTTTGGTCTCTCATCTTGCTGTTTTTGTGTTTCTGCGTGTGTGCTGCTGCATGTTTCTGTTGTGTCTCCTCTGATCTCACCGTATGGTGCTGCTCTGCTTCTTTGCTTCTTGTTCTGTGTCTAGCCTTTGCTTCTTCTTCCTTCGCTGGTCTCGTCTTCCTCTGACTGTGTGTGTGTGCGTGCTTCCTTCTGTCGTGTCTCCTCTGCTTGCCGTGACAAGCAATTCTTATCACCCACCCCTTTGTTTTTATTAGTATATTTTTTATTAGTATATATATATATATATATATATTTTGTTAATCTAATTTTAAAGTTAATTTAAAAGAGTTAACTTTTAAAAGTTAATTCCAATGTTTTGAATGGTTAGGATAATTTGAGATAGATTTTTTTTTCTTAAATTTAAGCAAGATTTTTTTTTAATTTTGTTAGATTATTATATTTTTTATTTTTTTAAAAATATAATCCTAAAAAGGGATTAAATTTTATTTTTTTTGTATTTTTATTTTTATTTTGATTATTTTAATGAATTAAGAAAAATAAAACCCTAACTAACAAAAGGTTAAAATTAAACCCTATTAATTATTTATTTTTTTGAAAATATAATCTTAAAAAGAATTAAATTTTATTTTTATATTTTTATATATTTTTAATCATTTATTATTATTTTTATTAAAATAAAAAAAATGTCGAATAAAATAGAGTATTCACACAGGGGGCTGAACAAAAATCCACCCCTTCCACTAACATTTTGACATTGGTATCTGTCACCTTCTCTATAGCTACCTTACACATCTCTTTAACAATTTCTTTTGACTCTGACTGATAG